CCCCAAAACCCCAAAACCCCAAAACCCCATAATTAACAATAAGTTAGAAATTGAAAGTAATGAAATAAATATTTAGTTCTGAATAATCAATAAAGATTGATAATGTCATTATTTTCGTTATTTTACTTTTATTTTCCGTCATTTTTATTGACATTCTGAGTCAGTTTAATAGTCTTCCTCAGATTTTTAATTTGAGCTTTAAGATTTTCTTGCGATATCCTCTATTTATTATTGGTGAAATTCAGATTGTTTAAAGATTCACTAGAGTTATTATGAGTGAATGATGCTCTATCTTTATTAGGGTTATCTTCTTTGATTTCCTCCAACTAATAGCTTCTCTTTTTCTTGCTTTAATGTGAAGTATTATTGTTACTGAACATGTCTAAGTTCTTGTTATAATTAAAGCTTTATAACGCAGTTAATTCAGCCTGTTGCCTTTGTTAGAAGTCATCTTCTTAATGTTATTGCTTAGCATTTATATTTGGCATAATATTGTTAGTATTGAAAGCTGAATTCTATAAACTCTAAGTTAATGAAGCTAAATTAATTAGATTAGCTTGAGATTAACTTCCTTAAACTATTTGATTATGTTATGATATTTTATATACATACATTTCTTGAGAAAGTTAGAATTTATTTGTTTTACCGTCAGACCCATTGCTTTGTTTTAACTAGAATACTCTGTCATTGCTCCAGATTTATGAGAGTTATCCAACGATTTTTTTCTCTTGATCCTCTGAGTTTACCCACCTCTACCTATATAATCTCTAAATATTGTGGCTTATTCCTGAGAAAATTTCTCAGCTGACTTATTCTTTCTGCTTCCTTTTCTGCTCGGACTATTCTTTTTGGATTACTGAATCAATTCCTTTAATTATGGGTAGTTATTAATATACTGAGAGTAATTTCTTATCAGAAATGTTGTCTTATTATTTAGTCTCTTTCTTTCTTGGCTAACCTCTCTATGATTTTTTATAGAATCTTTATTCTTAATAAGCTTTAAATTTGCTGAGTTCTGTTGCTAAATTTTGAAGTTGCTTTGAGGCTATGACAAGAAATCAGAATCCAAAATTTATCTAGAAGTATTAAATGATTGTGGCTTAAGAGTAATATTAATTAGTTGCTACTATTTTTAATCTTGCTAGTCAAGGGTTTAGATCGGTGGTATGAAGTTTTGTATTTAAACTGAGAATGAATTTTTATGATGTCCAGCTTTATGAGATTGTTTCTGCATAGATTGCTAGACATTTTATGCTTATTCATTAAGGGTCTAATGATCTTTATTTGATATGTTAGAAGATTATCTTTTAAATTGTTACTACTATATAGTATTTGGTTCATCTGTACTTTACTTTCTTCTAAAATTTTATGCTTCAGAGAGTTGCTTTAATTCCTCTTCTAATTTTTTTAGTTTTTATTAACTCTCCTTCAACTGTTTGCTTAAATGATTCCTATCTTTTGTGAGTGTCTTAAGTTCTTCATTTGCCAGGTCTTTATCATCCTTTAATCTAATGATTTCAAGATCCTTGATTTCAACTAATTCATCTAATCTTTTCTTATCCTTTTTCAGTTGCTCTATGTACACTCTCATCCTATCTTCTCTCTCTGCACCCTCTTTAATTTCCCTCTCCTTTGCACTTTTTAGCTCATCAATATAAATCTAAAGCTGCTCTTGAACCGATATATAGTTTCTAATGTCAGCCTCGTATTTTTGCATCTGATGCTCATCAAATAGATAATAGCCTTTCTTTTCATTAATGTGAATAGTGCTTTCATCATTAATTTATTTCAATGAACTCTACTCTATTTTTAGATGCTGGCTATCAATAGTTTTATTTAGTAGCTAGACAAAACTATTATCTTCCTTTTAATTCTAGACTCTATTCTTATTTGCATTTGCTATAATTTATGCTGGTTTTGAAGAGGACATTGTTATTATAGCATTTTTCTAATTGCTTTTACTTTTACGAGCTATAATAATTATGTTACATAAGTTTAGACATCTATAAACTTACAATATTAAAGCACTGAACTAGATTTAAACGATTCCATTGATTAATTGGCCATTGTTTCATTTGGATAGAGTATTTTTTCTTACGCTTCAACATTTAAGTTTAGGAGTATTTCAATGGATGCTCTAATGTAATCAGCAATGACTAATAGTGAAGTAGTCTAGAGCTATTCCCTCTCATTGATTAATATCTCATCATTTAATGCAGCTAACTATTTGGATTATTAAAATGAGACTAATCTTTACTTCGTCACTTGGTCGTACTTTGACATCTAGGTAAAGACTTATAATGGATTTTCTTATTGCCTTCAATTCGAGTTCTGGGGTTTCAAACGACATTTAATTTCAACAAGCTATATTATTAATTTCTATTTCCTTTTCGATAAAAATTACATAGATGAATGGGGTTTTGGGGTTTTGGGG